CAATGTGAGTCATCTATTATAATGTTCCCCATCACCTTTATTTTACTTTCTTTTTCTTTTTTTATTGTGAAAATACTGTACAGAGGAGTTACAAATACATGGGCAAGATAATGAGTACATTTCTTACCAAGCATTGTTGCCTCCTCCTTTGTTTCCCCTTCCTATCCCTTCCCATCCCCATCTCCCCCCCCCCCCCCCTTTTACTTTATTTTTCTAATGGAGGGATGGCATTTCGGCTCACTGTTTCAAAGGTTTAAGTCCATCATGGCAGGGAGGATGTGTGGAGCAGAGCTGTTGCCGCTCATTCCCTTCATGATGGCCAGGAAACAGAGAGAGTATGCCTTATGCCTGTGCTCCTCCATCATCTTTCATCCAGTTATTTTGGTGGCCACTGATAATGGTGGTTTGTACCCATTTTTTAAATATATTTTTATTGTGAAAATACTGTACAGAGGGGTTATAATTACATGGGCAAGATAATGAGTACATTTCTTATCAAGCATTGTAGCCTCCTGCTTTGTTTCCTCTTCCCATCCCTTCGAATCCCCTCCCCCTCATCTCCCCCCCCCCCCCAAAGTTCGTTTTTTTGACATAACGACTTGTACATCTCATTGTTGCAATGGGTCCTCCTGTATCCCTGTTTTAACAATTTGTTTTTTCCCTTCCCCATAACATATACCAACATCATATATAGTGAAAGCAGGGGTTGTTGTACCCATTTTTAAAAAATTAGTGGTTGCAAAACCATGACTGTCTGATTTTTTTTCTGTGTATTATATAGAATTCTTCTGTTAACTGTAGTTCTTAAAAGTATGATCCCCAGACAGGCAGCTTCATTGTTGCCTGAGAACTTGTGCAAATTCTTAGGTTTTACCTTTGTGGGTTGGGACCAGCAGTCTATGTTTTAATAATCCTTCTAGGTGATCTAGGAGATGCTGAGGCTTATTGAAGCTTGCACATATAAGGTATAAGAACTCTCTTCATCAACCATTGCTTACTCTGAAGTACAGTTCATATAAGAAAGGCAGGGATAAATGCTCGGCTGCATTTACATTTTTGTTGCTTTTTGTGTCTGTCCTGGGGCGTGAACTCAGGGCTTGGGCACTGTTCTTGAGTTTTTTCAAGTGTTTTCCAAGGCTAGCACTCTTACCACTTCAGCCACAGCTCTACTTGCGCTCCTTTCCTTTCCTTTCCTTTCCTTTCCTTTCCTTTCCTTTCCTTTCCTTTCCTTTCCTTTCTCCCTCCCTCCTCTTTCTTTCTTTCTTTCTTTCTTTCTTTCTTTCTTTCTTTCTTTCTTTCTTTCTTTCTTTCTTTCTTTCTTTCTCTCTCTCTCTCTCTCTCTTTTCTCTCTTTTTCTTTCTCTATCTCTCTTTCTCTTTCTTTCTCTCTTTTCTTTTCGTTGATTAATTGGAGATAGGAGTCGCATGAACTTTCCTGCTTGGTCTGGCTTCAAACTGCAATTCTCAGATCTCAGCCTCCTGAGTAGCTAGGATTACAGGCATGTGCCACTGGTACCTGGTTGCATTTATGTTTTTGATCTTGCCAAGTTTTATTTTTTAAGAGGTTGCATTGGAAGTGGTGTTGTGGCTCAAGTGGTAGAATGCTTGCCTTAAGCTGAAGAGCTGAGGGGCAGTGCCCAGACCCACAACAGACCAAAAAAAAAGGTTGCACTATTGAGTTATATTTGTTATTTAGGGGGAGATTTACTTCACTGTAATTCTCTCTGTCTCTGTCTCTCTCTGCCAGTCCTGGGGCTTGATCTCAGGGTCTGGGTGCTGTTCCTGAGTTTCTTTGTGTTCAAGGCTAACATTCTACCACGAGCCACAGTGTCATTTTTGGCTTGAGTAGTTTTTTTGAAGGTAAGGGTTTTATGAGGACTTTTCTCCCTTGGCTGGCTTTGAACGGTGATCCTCAGATCTCAGCCTTCTGAGTAGCTAGGAGTATAGGCATGAGCCATTGGCCCCCAGCTGCAATTTATTCTTTTTTTTTTTTTTTTTTTTTTTGGCTGTTTATAGCAACACATCTGCCTTGTGGCAGAACCTCTTTTTTTTTTTTTTTTTTTTTTATTGTAAAGCTACTATACAGAGGGTTACAGTTACGTGAGTGAGGTTATGAGTACACTTCCTCTTGAACATTGTTACCCCCCTCCATTGTTTTCCCCCTATCATCCCCTCCCTCCCTCCCTTCCCCGAGGTTCTTTTTTTTTTTTTGATTGTGATTAAATGATTACATAATTTCAAAGTCACAAGTTCATTCTAACTTCCCTGGAGCAAATTGTCTACCACAGTCTGTAATATATAACAGTGTTCACATGTTATACACCATACATGCGATCAGAAGTGCAATTTATTCTTAATCATTATGTCTGAAGGTATTTAAAGGCACTAATCTTAGCCCTAATATTGTCAACTTTGATGTCAGTTCTTTCATTTTAGTAAAACTAGCAGGTAGAAAATAGGTTGTTGGACTAGGATGTGCTAGTACTTGTCTGAGTTGGCGGGGGGGGGGGGGGGGGGGGGGGGAGGGCAGTGGCGAGGGGGAGGGTTCAAGAGGTTGAGGCCAGCTAGGGCCATACAGAAGACCATATATCAGAAAAGAAGATAAAAGTAAAAATTCTAGAATAGAAGATGGAGTATAGAAGAGTATGTAGGGTATAAGAAAGTTTGTCTCCATGACCTAAATTGGAAGTAGTTGGGGTTTCTTATTGTGGTGTAATTTTCCAAGTGTTCCCTTCTCAGCTGTGCTTCCAAGCATAGTGTTAGTAATTAGAAACTTGTAATGGAACAAGTAATTTAAACCACAAGTCTAGGGCAAAATTTATTCATTTAATACTGAGCAAAATGTAAGCCAGCTGTTGGGCTTGATTCCTTAAATTGGTATATAAGACTAACAGTAGCTGCTTTCAATGTACCTTAGTTTAATTGAGAAGAGCAACATTACAGAAAAACAATTACAGTTATGATAGATGTGCCAAAGGCAGTCTGGAGTGTATCAAGACTGCTTAACTGTGTGGACTGTATGCTCAGGGAAAACTGAGGTCTGAAGGATAATAGGAGTTGGGGAAGCTGTAGGAATAATGTTGGTTGGTTAAGAGTAGTATAAAGGGAGGAGACATGTCTGATAGAAAGTTTGATTCATATTAAGGTTTTAAAAAGTTATCTAGTGAATAAAAAACATTTGAAAGATTGTAGACAAGGGCTGGGAATGTGGTCCAACGGTAGAGTGCTTGCCTAGCATGCATGGAACCCTGGGTTCAATTCCTCAGTACCACATAAACACAAAAGGCTGGAAGTGGTGCTGTGGCTCAAGTGGTAAAGCACTAGCCTTGAGCAAAAGAAACTTAGGGACAGTGTCCAGGCCCTGAGTTCAAGCCCCAGGACTCCCCCCCCCCCAAAAAAAAAAAAAGATTGTAGACAAGATGTGACAGAATCAGTCCCTAGTGGTTAATTTGAAGTGTAACTTCTAAGTGATAAGCTGCCAAAAATCTCTGATACCCATTTCTTGCCGATATCAGCTATTGAGACACAGTCAGCTGTATCTGACTGAACTCATCCGTTTGTTTGTCTGAGACAGATAAAACACATTCAAAAATCTCCTACTGGCTATCTACTTTGTGTGGCAGAGTAACTAATTAAAGCCGTTTCTGCCTTCTAATTACCTCTCCAACTATAATGAACATGTGTTCTCCACAGTACTATAGGGCAAAAGGAAAACAGTATTTATTTACCTTTTTCAGGAGACTGGAAAAAAAATCAAAGAATATCATGTTAATGAACATCTGGGGAACTGACTTTTCTCTCCCTCCCTCAATCCCTCCCTCCCTTTCTTTTTCCTCTCTCCCTCCCTCCCTCCCTCCATTCCCTCTCCCTCGTTCCCTCCCTCCCTCCCTCCCTTCTTCCCTTCTTCTTTCTTCTCTTCCTTTTTGTGGTACTGGAGTTTGCACTCATCCTTACATTTACAAAGCAGGTGCTCTAAAATTTGATCCACACCCCAGCCCAGGAAAAATCTAACAGATTTGGGAACAGTTTCAGAGGACACATTCTCAGAATTACAAACACACTCAGACCTTTCCTCATTTGCCTCAGAACATTTTATTTCTATGAAAAATGTGTTTTTAAATTTTAGTTTGTTGCCTTATATTGTTTGAATAAATTCTTTGGTACTAAGTTATCTTTAAGTGTTAAGAGACTGAACTCAGTCTACTACTAGTGTTTCCTGTACTAAAGCATCATGGTTTAGTTGGGGAAAAAAATCGGCAGTAGATACACTGTTGGGGGTGATTGCTTTAGAACAACTTAATACAGAATGAAGAAATCAAGACATCTGGAGAAAGATGTTCTAGAATATGGAAGAAAAAGTGGGGTTTTTTTTGGAGGGGGGGTTTGATTGTGGGTCTTGAACTCAGGGCCTGGGCACTGTCCTTGAGCTGTTTGTTTACCCAGGGCTAGTCCTCTATCAACTTGATTCACTTCTGGTTTTTTGGGTGTTTATCTGGAAATAGGAGTCTCACAGACTTTCCTGCCTAGGTTGACTTTGGACCACAATTCTTAGGTATCAGCCTCCTGAATAGCTAAGATTACAGAAATAAGCCATCAGGAGCTGGCTAGTTTTTGTTTGTTTATTTTAAAGCCAGAGTTGAACTCATGAATACAGGAGAGGAACTATTATATAACCCCTTTCTCTTAGAGGAGGTGAGTGAAATAATGTTTATGAAAAACATTTTAAAAATTCCTAAAAATGGAGGGCAAGTACTTACCTATTCCTTTTAGGTTCTTTTTCCTCCCATGGTGGATCTCCAGAAGTGCTAGAGTAGTCATCCTGGAGTAGCAGGAATTTGATGCGTTTGATAGTAGAAGAATGCTCGGGGTGAACATGATACAAAGGGTTGGTTAAGTTTATTTAGTTCTCAAGCTGCTTAATTCAGATATTAAAAAAAGTTTGTCTAAGATAAATAAAGATATTTTAAGTGGATTAAAGATTTGTTCTTAATTATTTTTCAGCGAAACCCAACAGGAAGCTTACTTTTCTCTACCTAGCCAATGATGTCATTCAGAACAGCAAAAGGAAGGGGCCAGAGTTTACAAAGGACTTTGCACCAGTTATAGTGGAGGCTTTTAAGCATGTTTCCAGGTATGATCATTGTATGGGGATTCAGGAATCTGTTTTAAGTGTATAGTATGTCTTTTGCTTAAATTTACCATTACAGTAAAAAACCAGAAAGCATTTCTTTGAAGGTTGTGTTGGAAAAAAATTTATCTCTAACTTGAATTTTTGGGTAAATGTTACCAAGGAAATCTGAACTGGGAAGATGGGCATTTGGAAGTCTTGAATTATAGCTTTCCTTTAAGAGATCAGAAGTAACTCCTATATTAGAGTGAAGTTTAGTGAAGTCAGTGAGACTATTGAAGTAAAATTTAGTGAGCATAAAAGTACTAGTCTTATAAGCACTATTTCCCCTCATACCACTTATATGATGATTTTTAAAGTTCTTTTTTTTAATGTTTAGGTATATGTCCTAACATTTTATGACATTTATGTTTTGGAAATAAAGAATATTTACATATGGTAAGCATAAACTTGTTTGAAAAGTTTTGCTGCAAGTAATTCTGAAAGTGGAATCAATACTTTATGCTTCCTAAAATACTTATTTCCAACCAGTATATGCCGGCATATATTGTAATAGCTAATCAAATGAATAGAATAGTGTAGAATGGTGAGTGGTGTTGATTTATGTGGATTGATACAAGGGTGTAAGTCTCCTTTTGCTAAGCTTAGTATATAGTAATGAAGAAGACCAAGTTCTGGGTTAGTAGAACTTACATTTCAGAAGATATAAAAGATAATAACAGCTGGACAAATAAGTGCATATTTTATGTCAGATGACACATGTTCTATGGAAACATGAAATAGAAGGAATTGGAGGGTATGACAATGCTCAGATATATGATAAGATAAAGAAAACTGAGGGACCTAGCATTTGTACAGAGATTAAACAAGAATGAAAGGAGTCTTTTGAATAGGAAGAAAGGTATATAGACAGAATACTCAGCATAAATAGATAACTTGTGTGGTTAGCATGTTTGAAGATCAACAAGATTTTAAAAATTTTTAATGGTTATTATAGTGGTGATGCACAGAAGTGTTATAGTTACATAAGTACATTTCCTTTTGGACAGTGTCACTCCTTCACTAGCTCTCTCCCAGTTTTTCCCTCCCATTTGCCACTCACAAATCGCATAGTTCATCTTCAACAGAGTGGCCAATGAGTACCATTGCTGCCTTTGTTCACCCTTTGTATCTTTGGGCCTCCCCTTACACTTTGAAAACAAGGAGGTTTTTGTTTGTTTTTTTTCCCCAGTCCTGGGCTTGAACTCAGGACCTGGGCACTGTCTCTGATCTTCTTTTGCTCAAAGCTGGCACTCTACCAGTTGAGCCACAGTGCCACCTCTAGCCTTTTCTGTTTATGTAGTACTGAGGAATCAAACCCAGGGCTTCATATATGCTAGGCAAGTACTCTACCACTAAGCCATATTCCTAGCCCCTACAAGGAGATTTTTATGGAAGAAATATTAGAGAATATAAAGATTGCTTTCATTTTTGTTGTGGTTGGTAGCTCTTGGACGATTGAGAACAATATGATCTGATTTAGCATTAGATGAGTAGAGTGAAAAGAGTAAAGGCTGAGAGATCAGTGAGGATTCACAAAAATTTAGGCAGAGGTACTAGTAGCTCCATCTACAGTGGCAGTGATGAACCAGGTAGGAAATGGTTGGAAGTAATTTGTTTTCAGTATATTTTCCTGTTTATACAATCTTAGATCTCAGATTAGATATTACTTCTTCAAATGTTCTTTTTTTTTTTGGTCCGGTCGTGGGGCCTGAACTCTGGGCCTAGACACTGTCCCTCAGCTCTTCAGCTCAAGGCTAGTACTCTACCACTTGAGCCACAGCACCACTTCCGGCTTTTTTCTTTTTGCTTATGTGGTGCTGAGGAATCGAACCCAGGGCCTTGAGCATGCAAGGCAAGTGCTCTACCACTGAGCCACCTTCCAAGCCCTTCAAATGTTCTTTCTGACCTTTCTTAAACTGGGCTAGACTTCTGTTGTCTGTAGCACCTTGTTCTGTTTTGTAGCACTAGACAAATAATAACAGCTCTAAAACTCCATTTGATCTCTATGTCGAAGTATGACTTGGATCAATAAATACTTGTTCGATACTTAAAAGTTGCCCATTAGAAGTTTCTCTTAGCCTCATGTTCAGCCCCATTATTAGATTAGAGCATCTTCTTTATCAATGCTTAGTAGTGTTTCTTAAAATTTGTATTTTGGGGGGTAATTTTTTGTTTAATATTATGTCTTAAATTCTTTAAGGAAATGAGTCTGCCTTAATAGCATTATCCTCAAGGATAAAGAAACATAGTGAACATCTGGATAGTTTTTTCCTAGAGAATAAATACCGATTGTATTTACTCATTACCTTTTCAGTAGCATTATGTATTTTTACCATTAGCATTTTTGTTTATTTTATTTAGTGAAACTGATGAAAGTTGTAAGAAACATCTTGGAAGAGTATTATCTATTTGGGAAGAAAGATCTGTTTATGAAAACGATGTATTAGACCAACTTAAGCAAGCTCTTTGTAAGTATATAATCTTGATCTCATAAGGTGGTCTTTTATTTAAAGTATATTCTTTTATTAAAACTTAAAAGCTCTTTCAATGCAGATGGTGATAAAAAGACTAGGAAGCGAACTTATGAGCAAATAAAAGTGGATGACAATGAAAACTGTTCTCTGGAATCTCCAAGTGAACCACCCCAGGTAAGCTTGTCTCCGTTAAGAGATAATATTTTATTTTGTGTGATCATCAAGCTTTATTAGTAGGTACGAGAAAGAAGCTCCATTAGTATACTTAATTCTCTGGCTAACCAATTGCTTACACTTGAAGTAGTATGTTATGTGCTGTATATTTTGCATTGAACCAGAATTTCTGATTCCTGAGTATGACTAGGTGAGATAAAATGTCTACCACTTGAATAGTTTATTTTTAAAATAAAACATGTGATAAGGATATGTTGTTATATGATCGAGATGCGGTAAAATTCCGTTCTTAGGGATGAACACCAGTCCTATAAATACTTTTGCTTTCAAATGTGTAAAAATGAGTGTTTGAATGACAAATTATATTCATGAAGTTCTATGACTATGTAACCCATGCGTTCTATAGAAAAATACAATAAATTAGAATAATTATCTTAATAGTCTAAGTTTTCTCATACTAAACCATTCAGTGAATTCTAGAAAAACACTTGGAACTCTTAATTAAGTGGGCATTAAGACTTTAAGCTTCCTTCTTCTATGTTTGAAATGTATAGGAGAGACAGATAAAATTTAAAAGGAGAAAATGAAGACAAAGCCGTTCTCTTAATCAGGTAAATATCTTTAAGGGCTAGAAATGGTACAGAAACATAACTCACTGTATAGGTCGGAGCCTTTCTGCTGAGGTCTGGTCCAGAAGCAGTTGTAAGTTTTCAGAAATTAGTATACTTCAGGGTACTTGACAGCATGCACAAGGCCTTGGGTGCAATCCCCAGCACTGTGAACAACAAGAAAAGCACAAGTTGTACATTGTTTGGTTGGAGAAATCAAACACTAAGATGCATGTTTCTCCGTATTTCATGACAAAATCATTTTATGCTAAAAGTTCTATTAGGATTCCATGGACAATATTTTGCCTGAGTTTTAGGTGTAGGATCTGACCGTCTTACACTTCCTCTGATGAAAGAATAACCACCTTTGGACTTTTTGAATGTTTTTCAGTGATTATGTGACTTTCTCCAGTACTTACATAAAATGTTATTGCTTTTGGTTTTAGAATTGGTTGTGCTGCCCAGTTCTAACTGGTTCAGCTTTGTAGTCACTATTTTATGACATTTTGGAGTGGCTAAAATCTCTCTGTGCAGTTTACAATTTAATTCACTCACTCTAGTAGCAAGTCCTAGTCTAGTGTTTTAGATAACTGTGGGTTTTTTCCCTAATCTTTCATCAGGCATTGGGAATTTATATTTAACTCATGTAGGAAGGAATGTAAACGTGTAATGAGATAAGATTTGGAGGTAGGCACTGTTAATACCATGAAGTAAATTTCTTTCTAGAACTCTAGAAAATTTTAGAACTTTCTAATGCTCATTGAAACATTTTATATTAGTTGAGAGACCATACTGCTCTTTTAAGTGCAATTTCATTATAGAAGAGAAATAGATGTCTTTATAGAAGACTTAAATATTTTACAATTTTTTTGTATTTTTCATACACTTCTAATAACATGTAGATTGGCTTATTTCTTACTAGATTAATTCTTAACAAATTTGATCATTTGTTACATATACCAGATAGTTCTTTTTTTTTGTTTTCCTTTTTTGAAGTATGACAGTCTTACTATATAGCACTAGGATTACAAGTATGTGAACTGGAACTTGAACTCTAGGGCCTGGGCACTGTCCTTTAGCTGTTTTTGTTTAAAGCTAGCATTCTACCACTTAAGCCACAGCTCTACTTCTGACTTTTTGCTGGATAATTGTAGATAAGAGTCTTACGCTTTCCTGCCCAGGGTGCCTTTAACTGTGATCCTCAGATCTCAGCCTCCTGAGACGCTAGAATTACAAACACCCAGCAAGTGTATTCTTTTTTGTTTTAGCTGGCTTTAACTTGGTCTCAAGCAGTCCTGCCTCAGCCTTCTCAGTAGCTGGGACTTATAGGTATATGTTACCACACCCAGCTAATTCTGTGTACACAGAATTAGTAATATCCAATAATTTAAAGTGTGTATGTGTGTTTGTATGTGTGTGTGTATGCTTGCTTGTTTTTCCTAAGCTGGGTGCCTTTGGCTTATACTCCCTAAAGGATGAGATTTGAGAGTCAAATTCGAAGCCAATCTTGGCAGCAAATTCAGAAGGCTCTTATCTCTTATTAGCTAGCAACTGGAGATATGGCTTAAGTGGTAGAATGGCAGCAGTGAACCTAAAAAGCAAAACAAGAATGTGAGACCCTGAGTTCAAGCCCCTAGTACTAGCACACACTCCCCCAAAAACATATAAATGTATTTTTTTCTTAATGTCACTTAGAAACTAAAAAAGAAAGATGAAATGGATAAGGATGGAGACTAGTAAAAAGAACATTTAATTTTCTTTAGAATAACATATTATGTGTTGTGAAATTGCTAATGAGGAATTGTTCTTTTAATTATAGCTAGTATAGAAACAGTTGAGTTAAGGTTGAAAATGTGGCTCAGTGGTGGAGTGTTTGTCTAGCACTTCAACACTGCCAAAAATAAAAAAGTAAAGAACATAAAATTAAAGTAAGAGAACAGTGCAATTAAAATACTGTAATTGTTATTTTCTAATTATGATATTATAAAAATAGTGAAAATAAATATTTTAATAAGATAATTTATATATTGGCTAAGCAATACATAAACGTTAGCCATCAGATACACAATTTTTTTAATGATAGGATAATCATATCTGAACATATATCCATCCCCAGATTACATTTCTCCTATTTTTTAAATTATAGCATTTAGAAATAGAATCTGAGACTTTTTCTTGTAATAGTTGATTTATATTTTCCTTTCCTCAATGTTCAATATAATGTGTAAGTAAATCTTCATTTAATGATGATACAGGCAATAATAATTTAATAAGTATATTATTTATTGACAAGCTCTGGGTAATAGCTGTCACTTCCTTTTTCTACCGATGTCTCTGCCTCATAAGTCAGTCACCTTATTTAAAGAATCCAACCTTTTTTTTTTTAATACTGTCTCTACCACTTGGTAGAGATTATCTGTTTGATTACAGTTTCAGTGCTTTGTATATAATGTAGCTTGTTTTTCTATTTTATAAAAGAAATGATTGTCTTCAAAGCACTTTATAAAATGAAAACTTGGCGTTAGTACGTGCACCATAGGATTAGGAATATGAAGTAAATGTTAAGTGTTTTGTATTTGTTAACACTGTTTACTTTGGTCTTGAAGTTGTATAACTTTTTAGACTCTAGATCTCGTTAGAGCCCTGCAAGATCTAGAAAATGCAGCTTCTGGTGATGCAGCAGTCCATCAGCGGATAGCTTCTTTGCCTGTGGAAGTTCAAGAAGTATCTCTCCTTGATAAAATAACAGGTAAGAAGATAAAATGTATTCCAGAATGTTTTTTTGGGAGGAGGCAGAATGTGGGAACAGCATATATCATTGTTTTTATTTTGTAATAATTTTATTATCCTATGCTTTTCCTAGATAAAGAATCTGGAGAAAGGCTTTCTAAAATGGTAGAGGATGCTTGTATGTTGCTGGCAGATTATAATGGCAGATTGGCGGCAGAAATAGATGATAGAAAGCAGCTCACTCGAATGTTAGCAGATTTTCTTCGTTGTCAAAAGGAAGCCCTTGCAGAGAAAGAGCATAAATTGGAAGTGCGTAATCTTTTGCTTCTTTAGTGCTTTTTTGTTTAACTTACTTTTTGGTAGGAATTTTAATATACCTTAATGTGCCTGCACATCTTGAATTTCTTGGATTGTGGAGTTTTTTAGGCAGTGGCTCAGGTAAGCTTCCCTTTACATTAGTGGCCTTCTCTGTACTTGAACTAAGTCAACCTGCTTTAAGCATAGAAATTTGGAATTAGCAGAATTGGTTAAATTTGAAAATTATTAATGTGAAGTCCCAGGCAAAAGTAGAATTCTATGTACTTAAACTCTGATTTTCAAGCACAGAATAGAAAAATAATAATGGGAATGAAGCCTGGTGGTAACAGCATTAAATTATGGTTAGACTTATTCAGTCCCTGTTCTAAGTGAATGTAGTCTTTTAGTTGTATCATTAAATCTTCAGATGACTGCCTTGTTCAACCTCAGTTCTGACACTTAACATTTTCCCACCTATACTTGCTGGGCTCACACATACTTTCAACATTTAAGTAACAATTTGGTACTGTTGATCAGAAGTCTGGGAGTTTAGAAGGTAATTTTAAAGAGTCTTATATTTTCTGTGAGCGGGAATAAATGCATTAGATTTGGTTTTCTTTAAAGAGTCATTCAGTTCACTAGTTTTTGTTTAAATTTTTTCCTGCCTTACCAATATCTTAGTCTAATAGTATGTAAGTGAGTTTATAATTTGTTTTTAGACAGTCCACTATAAATTTGCAGGTGTATAATAGTAGTACTTTTAAGTTGCAAGGATTTGCCATTTAGCAATGACATTCATAAGTACAATGCATCTTGATCAGTGTCACTCTTTTCAACATTCTCACCCATCCCTCCCAATATTAAGTTGCTTTCATTCATTATTACTTAGTTCTTCGCTCAGCAGTCTAATTTATGTCCCAGATGGTGCTTGGACCGGCTTGCCATTGCAACTGTCAAGAGAGCTACTTGATTACCCCACCCCAGATTTACAGCTTATTTTAGCATTATCCTTTTTCAGTTTTCTGCTTCTCTGCTCACATAAACTCAGTTATTGCCACTGTTCTCTGCCCTTAAAAATTTTGCCCACTTTGATAAAGATGCAATTTCTTAAAAAGATGAATTTTAATAGTTCACTTACAATGTCTTGATCTTGTGGTTAAACTTCAGTCTTAAATATAGTGTTGCTTCTTTTATTGTCTGCAGAGATAAGGGTAAGTAATATTGTACAATTTTGTCTTCAGTCTTTTTGGTATAATTTCTTTAACTTCTATTGAGCTTGTGTTGCAGATATTGGACATGGGCGTATCTTCTAATGATGTCATCACCATTAGCATATTCTTCCTGATAAAAATAAATATCAAACTCTAAAGCCTGTATTGTCTCATGTTTTTGAAAACTGAAGAGAAGACTGAAACTTTTTTTATTTTTCTACTTATACTGCTTTCTCACACTGTTGGCCACTTATCACTAGTTTCAAAATTAGAATTTATATTTGAAATGTATATGTCAAAAATAGAGCAGCATATTTTCCCCCATATCCTTATCCTCAGGTTGCTTGGGTTCCTTTCTTCCCCCAGTCCATTCAAGCCAGGTTTTGGTCAGTTGTTATAGGTGGTGAGGCCAAGAATATTCTAGGCATGTCACAAATCAGTTCATTAAATTTATACAGCAGAATGTATGATTCTCTCATGGAACTGAGGCAGAAAGAGACAAAAGTAGCTTGCTCAAAGAGTTAGTAATTGTTTAGAATACAGGGACTTTTGCCTCTATAGTTTGTGTACATTTGCTTTCTGTTTTTACTTAGAGAAATGTAAGATTACAGTAAAAGCTAAACCCTCATTTTCTTACTCTTTTTAATCCCTCCTACTTCAGATTGAACCATTGTCTTAAAATCTCCTAGGAAATTTTGTTCAGCATAACTGCATGTTACCATTATAAGAGAAACCACCAATTATCTCAATTACATTTGGCTTCTTTCTTTGTAGCAGTACCAAGTATTGAACTCAGGGCCTCAGTAACTTGCAAAGTAGATGCTTTACCACTTGAGCCATTCCTCTAGACCCTTTTTGTATTATTTTTGAGGTAGGGTCTCACTTTAAGGCCAGGCAGGCCTGGGTTGTGATCTTCCTACTTGTGCACTGTTGATAGTGATGACAGGCATGTGCCACCATGCCTGCCCATAGAGCTTCCCCTCTACAGGAAGGCAGCCTACATAGGATAATAGGCATACACCACTGTGCCTAGCTATTGGGTCAGATGGAACCTAACTTTTATGCCCAGGCTGGCTTTTAACCACAATTCTCCCCGTTCTCCACCTCCCAAGTAGCTAGGATTATAGGCTTGAGCCATGCCCAGTTTATAGGCAACTTTTTTTTTTTACAAGAAATATACAACTTCATAAACAATGGAATTATTCAGCAGAACTTTTTATATATTTCCATTTCGACCTAATTGATTCTTTTGTGAGATGATTGAGAAATTACTTGGGATATTTAGACATTCTTTCAACTAACTAGGTAGCTTCACTTTAAAGTTGACACTGAACTGGGGAGTAAAGACAACGTTTTTCATATCAGCAGTGATAATCACATAGTTCACAGTTCTCATGTATCTGAACAATTATTGTGTGTGTATTTATATATATATGAGCAGTAGTGAGATTTGAATTGTAGGCTTCACACTTGCTAGGCAGGCATTCTACCACTTTGGTTGCTTTTTGGGGTATGGTCTTACATTGTATCCAGGCTAATCTCTGTGTTTCCCTACTGTCACTGAGGTGACAGGCATTGTCATTGTGGAGATGTCTTATGAGATTTTATGCCAGAGACTAGTATAAACATATATTAGAAGCTCATTTGTTTTATCTCTTTTTTGTTTGGTTTTTATCTTTCATTACATAGATTTTCATTTTCCCCCTCCTGGTTCTTGAACTCGAGGCCTGGGTACTGTTCCTGAGCTTTTGTGCTTAGGGCTAGTGCTTACCACTTTGAGCCATAGGGCCAAATCCAGGTTTTTGGTAGTTAATTGGAAAGTCTCACAGACTTTCCTGCCCAGGCTGGCTTTGAACTATAATCCTCTGATCTCAGCTCTCTGAGTAGCTAGGATTACAGGTATGAGCAGACACCCAGTATATGATGATTTTATTTTTAACTTGCATGTTTATAATTTCAACTAGAAATAATTATGATGTATATGGGTTTTGATTAGTTCTCGCCCTCTATTTTTACCATTTTATCTGTATTTAATATTTTATTAATTTTGTTACAGTCTCACTATATAGCCCAGGCTGGCCTTGAACTTCTGATCCACTTAACTCTACTTCCTGAACTAGGATTAAAGGCATGTACCACCATGCCTGACTGGTATTGCCTGGTCCTTCTAGTATCTATCTTCTGCACGACTATTACTTGATGCATCTTGTAAGGAGGAGCCAGGTCCTGTCACACCCTTGTTTAAAGCACTCCACTGCTTCTCCTTAGTCTTTTGTATCTTTTTTTTTACATTCATACAGTGAGCTGAGCACATGTAATCTACCCACTTAGGAGGCTGAGATCATCTGATGATCACAGTTTGAAGCCAGCCTGGAAAGTCTGTGAGACTCTTATCTCCAGTAAATTACTCAGAAAAAGCTGGAAGTGGTATGTAGCAAGGTGGTAGAGCACTAACCTCGAGCACAAGGAGGCTTAGGGACAGCTGACTCTGAGTTCAAGCCTCTGGACCGGCAATAAATAAATTTGTACAGTGGCCTGTGAAATCTTGAGTAATAAGCCAGTGTGTGCCTTCCACTTAGTACTTCAAGCCCATGAAGTACATTTCCATATCAGGACTTTTGCTTTGCCCATTGCTAAACATGTTTTCAGTACATTCAGTCTTCTGTCCCATTCCTTTGGTTCCACCCACTATACCTTCCCCTTCCACAGCAAAACTGTTGTCTTGTTTTTCTTTACTAAATATTTCTCCTACTTGAACGTTTACCACTCTGTACTTAGTCTTGTGTATTTATTACTCGAATGTGCACCCTAGGACATGAGGATAACTTGGATTTTTTTCATGTTTATTGTCATATCCTCAGTGTCTAGAGTATTTTTCCTAATAGGCTTTCAACTGTTTTTGTTAAACACAGTATGGGCCTTTGTAATAAAAATCAGTAAGAGTCAGTACTTTAAAGGAATAAGAATGCTTCAGATACTTGATTTTTGGATAAAAATATATCTAGAGTAATTGGCTAGCTTTTCTGCTGGGGATCAAACCCAGGCTTTTGTACATGCTAGGTAAGTGCTGCATCAGTGGGCCACTTCCTAACCCTACTTAACTTATTTTTACGTCTTATAATTCAGTAGCATCCCATTATCTATGGTGGATGCTTCTAAGACACAGTGGGTGTCTGAAAGAATGGATCATAGTGCCAACCTATATAAAATCTGTTTTTCCCTATATATACCTATGGTAAAGTTTAACTTACAAGTTAGGCTCTGACAGAGATTAACAAAAATAAACTATATTGAAATGCTATATGAGTGATTTCTCAGTTATTGTATTTTGGTTATGGGGCCTGAACTCTGGGCCTGGGTGCTGTCCCTGAGCTCTTCAGCTCAAGGTGAGAGCTCTACCACTTGAGCCACAGCGCCATTTCTGGTTTTCTGGTGGTTTATTGGAGATAAGAGTCTCTCGGACTTTCCTGCCCAGGCTGGCTTTGAACTGCAATCCTCAGATCTCAGCCTCGTGACTAGGATTACAGGCATGAGCTACCAACACCTGGCTTTCAATTATTTTTATTTTTATTTTTGTGGTTCTGGGGATTGAACCCAGGGCTTTGTGTATGCTAGGCAAGTCCTGGACCACTTGGGCCACACCTCCAGCCCTTCAAAATATCTTCATTGCCATTTGCACAATTGGAATATTTTTGGACCATGTTGAAACTATAACCCTAGGTAAGAGAGGCCTACTGTCCTTAAAAAGATTTAGATGGTCTGTGTTCAAGGCACAGTATCTAGAAGATTGGCTGATCAATTTGAACATCGGGGAGAAAATGGGAGTTTCTAAGTTGTAAATTATGCTGTTCTTTTGTCCCTTCAATAAGAAGAAGCATTGACAATTTCCAACTCCTTAGCATGAATAGCTAGTGGGCAGGACTCAGCAGTTACCTGTTGGATGTGGGAAAGGTAACTGCCGCCTAGTGGAAAAGCTGGAGCGAGAAATGAGATCTGAATCCTTTCACATAATTGCAGTATGTGAGAATAGAGGGCACATTGCATTTCCCTTTGCTTGCTCACTTGTTCATGGAATGCCTCTCCTGTCAAGAGAGGCATCATTGTGGTAAAAGAATTTATGTAGATA